TCTAGTCTAGAAGATAGTTTAAAGAAGAGGGGGAAAATTTTGAGATTGCAATCTTAGGAAAGGGAAGAAACTTCAGAGGACACTCCACGCAAAGTAGAGGAGGGTGTGGACACACAGAACTCAGTAACCAAGTGGCCGAGAGCATCAACACCAGCTTTGGAGAGTGAGCTGAGATCACTGAAGTAGCCTGAGCCACTGGCGATAAAGCTGAGGGAACAGCCTGGAATGAGTTTGGCGGAGCCCTGTGGGGAATAGTGTACCTGCCACCTAGAAGTATAAAGGGGGGGCATATGTTTCTATCTCCCTGAGCCACCCTGCATCAGTATCCTGTAACTAGCTGAGGTATGGCGGGAACCATTTTGGACATATTATCAGCTGTTCCAGCTTCTGTCCATGTACCCAGCAACCAGCTGAGATGAGACGCCTGAGTCTGGCTGGGAGAACTGACAGGGGTCTGGGCGGTTTTGACTGCGGGAGCCTTGTGTGCTGGGATTGTGAAAACACTGTGGCTGCATGGAAGGGTGCAGGGTGTGGCCGGGTCCCTGAGCAGTCATTCTGGGCTGCTCCACATGCTCAGGTTGCCCTGATTCTCTGGTGAGAGTCATTGCTGCAGGACCCAGGCTCACACTGTGAACTGCACTGATGCTTTGTGTGTTCTTGTGGCAGTGTGGACAAATACAACACTCACTGGGGCTAGAGCTCTGCAACTGGTCTCCTTGGAGCAGAGAAGGTGAGCATGAGAGTATAACAAAAGAACTGATAAAACTCTCTCCTCTTACAAAAAAATAAGAGAGATTGGCCGGTGCCACGGCTCACTTGGTTAATCCTCCACCTGCGGCACCAGCACCCCAGGTTCTAGTCCCAGTTGGGGTGCCAGATTCTGTCCCAGTTGCTCCTCTTCCAGTCCAGCTCTCTGCTGTGGCCTGGGAAGGCAGTGGAGGATGGCCCAGGTCCTTGGGCCCTGCACCTGCATGGGAGACAGGAGGAAGCACCTGGCTCCTCGTTTTGGATTGGTGCAGCACACCAGCTGTAGCAGCCATTTGGAGGGTGAATCAACAGAAAGGAAGACCTTTCTCTCTGTCTCTCTTACTAACTCTGCCTGTCTTAAAAAAAAGAGAGAGATACCACCACCACCATGTTTATTGCAATACAGTTCACAGCAGCCACAAGGCATAAACAAGGTTATTTATGAAGATTAAACAAAGATTTCCATCATCAGATGAATTACTAAGGAAAGGATGGTATAGATTGATGATCAAATGTTATTCAGGACTTAAAAATAATGAAATTTTATCAAGTGCATCAAAATGGAGTTACTGGAGGACTTCATCTTAGAGAAATCAGCCAGAAAAAGAAAAATACCACATGTATTACCTTACATGTGGAAGTTAACTTTTTGAAAAATTCAAAACACAAAAACAAAAAAAATGCCAATGTGTATCACTATTGCTGCAAATATACTCCTAGAAAACACTATTTGATAACTTGGACAAACCAGTGGTTAAGAACGGAACACTGGGGCCGGAACTGTGGCATAGTGGGTTAAGCATCCATTGTGGTGCCGGCATCCCATAGGGCACCAGTTCAAGTCCAGCTGCTCCACTTCCAATCCTCTTCCTTACTGATGGCCTGAGAAAGCAATGGAAGATGGCCCAAAGGCTTGGGCCCCTGCAACATAGCGGGAAAAACAGAAGAAACTCTTGGTTCCTGGCTTTGCACTGGCCCACCTCCAGACATTGTGGCCATTTGTGGAATGAACCCATATTTATGGAAGACCTCTAACTCTACGCCTCCCTCTCTCTGTAACAATACCTCTCAAGAAAACTAATGTTTCTTTTTTAATTTAATGTCTTAAAATAAAAGATCATCATACTGCTCTGGTGGAACTCTATTCTTTCTACCTTTTACCTATGAATATTATGGTTACCCTGAATATTACATGGATTATAATCATATCATGAAAAATAGATGAAAAGAGGAAAGGGGAAGAGAGGAAATTCTGGGTTTATTCTTAGAACTGTACCTCCACAATTCATGAAATATGATCTCTTTTCATTCATTTTAAAAATAATTGAAGGGGCAGGGGCTGTGTGGCAGTGTATTAAAGCCCAGGCTTGAAAGGTGGGAATCCCACCACATGGGCACAGGTTCTAGACCCCAATGCTCTCTTCTGATCTAGCTCTCTGCTATGGACTGGGAAAGCAGTAGAAGATGGCCCAAGTCCTTGGGTCCCTGCATCCACGTGGGAGACCTGGAAGAGGCTCCTGGTTCATAACTTGCGATCGGCTCATTTCTAGCCATGTGGCAATTTGGGAAATGAACCAGCAGAGTGAAGACTTCTCCCTCTATCTCTACACCTCTTTCAGTAATTCTTTTAAGTAAGTAAATTTTAAAAAATTTTAAAAAGAAAAAAGAATGTTACGTTAGTATAGTTTTAATGATCTGTGATTACTTTAAATTTAGGGTGTATAAATAACATGGTCAATTTTCCATTCAACTGATTATACTTGTTACTTATATTCCCTATAAACGAGGGATTCTAATCTTCCTTATTTTTAGAAGATCTATTTTTTTTTTTTACAAAGACATTGTTACATACAGAGAGTGAGAAAGAAGGAGAGATCTTCCATCTGCTGGTTCACATTTCCAGGTCTCCCACATGGGTGCAAAGTCACAAGCACTATTAGCATGGAGTTGGATCAGAAATGGAGTATAAACCGGTGTTGTGGCATAACGAGTAAGGGTGCCTCCTGCAGTGCCGGCATCCATATGGGTGCTGGTTTCAAGTCCCAGCTGGTCGACTTCTGATCCAGCTCTCTGCTATGGCCTGGGAAAGCAGTGGAAGATGGCCCAAGTCCTTGGGCCCCTACACCTGCACTGGAAGACCCTGAGGAAGCTCCTGGCTCCTGGCTTCGGATCAGTGCACCTCTGGCCATTTGGACCTTCCAGGGAGTTAACCAGTGGATTGAAGACCTCTCACTCACTCTCTCTGCCTCTCTATAACACTGTCTTTCAAATAAATGAATACGTCTTAGAAAAAAAAAAGAAGTGGATTAAATGGGACTTGAACAAGCACCCATAGGGGATGCCAAACATTGTCCCCCCCCCCATTTTTTAGTATCTGAACTTCTTATACGGTAAAGAATTTAGCTTTTTTACTAAAATGCAAATATAGAAACTGTCCAAAAATGGATGAAAGTAAGGAAAGGAGGAACAAATGGAGAAAGAAAGGAAGAGGTACACTGGGAGAGACAGCGTTGGAAGGAGAGCAGAAAGAAGGGAATGTTGATTCATAATTGTTCTATAGAACATATTGAAGAATTTTTTTAACCTAAAAAACAAATACATCTACTGGGATGTATTAATCTTTGATGGAGATTTACATAAAATAGGTAAGCACTCAAATTGCAGGAAAATTAAAAATGTAAAATGTGCATGTTCACAAAATTCTGTACCAGGAAAACATGAGTTTTATAAAAATGTAAGTTTGAAAATCTTTATGTAGAAATAAACTATAAAGTGAGAGTATAAAACTATATAATTCTGCATAAGTGTTACTCAAAATAACACTGCATTGAAAAGAAAAACCTAAGGAAGAATTTGCATTCCTAATAAATGTGACAGCGTGAAATAAGACAAGGTATAATGGCTCATAAAAGCAAATGGAAACATCAGAGATGGTATAAAAAAACACGCGAGGAATAGGAAGTACTACAAAGTATACGTTCCAACATAAGGGGAAGATATTTCAAGAACTCCTACCCGGTAAAGTCCTGTAGGACTCGAGTCATCCCCAGCCCCCAAACAACAACCAGAACAAAAACTCCATGAAAGCAGAAACTTTCACACAGAGCTGCCTAGAAGGATATGGAAAACATGCACCACGACAAAGCTGTGCGCAGTTCATCAAAATGTCTTGAAAGACAACAAACTCACAACTGCTTCTTTCCACAAACTTTTCAAAGTACCTCACGTTGCCCCCTGCATTACATTAAATAACGAGAACAAATGCTGGGACATAACAGAAACATCTTTGAAAGACAAGAAATACACCTTTACCAAGACAGAGTCCTCTGCCCAAATTCAGACTTCTATAAGCTGACCTCAAGCCTCAAATTTCATTCCAGGCTTGATCAGGTTCTTGTCTTCCTAAGCACACACCAATCCAGTTTTCTCCCAGATAAGCCTCTCTCCATCCCTGGTATTCCCGAGAACTTTGTGAAAGTTTCCTGATTGACCATGCACCCATACCACAGTCCCTAAGAAAGACCACACCACACCCATCACCATTTTCTTACCCTCATTTTCCTAAGGTTGTTGCCCAGATGCTGTCCCAGGTCTAATACTCGGAGACTCCACCAGTTCTACTAGTAGACCTACCAGCTCCTCCCTATTACAACTCTACTGAAAGTCACCTGACCTCCTCCATACACTCCTTCCATTTCCCTGTCTATATCACAGAGTGGCAATATACAGAAATTACCTGATTTCAGCTCCCAACACATTGCATGCCCCAGGTTCTTCCATAAAATCTAACCCTCCACTCACACCACACTAAATACCTCCATCCCGTCATTCTTAGGTCCGAAATCTCAAACCCAAACTTTTATTAACACGTCTCTCCAATCCAGACTTCTTGGGTTTTGTACTCTGACTCGACAGCACACACTTGTCCTCCAGGTCTCCCTCCCATTTCCTGGATACCCAAGTCTTTCCCTATTACCATGTTCTTTGGCCCCTAATTCTCTGCAGTGCCCGGGGGAACTCATTCCCCCAACATCCTATCCATCCCTGTCTGCATGCTATCCAATTCTACTGAAGCCCACCAGGCCCCTACATTTCTCCCCATGTGTGGGGCTACCCCACATGACCCTCCTTGCCATGGGGTAAGGGCCCATCACTGTCAGCCTGGGCCGCCCAACCCCAGGGAATGGGCTTTCCCTTCCCTTCCCCTTGTGCATCCAGACATGGCCACTACTGGGGCAGCCACATCTGCTCACCTGTTGCTCCTCTCCAGGAAGAAGACCCAGCTGGCGTTGAGCAGGAAGCTGTGCAGTCTCTCTGGGAATGGGAGATTACTTGGCAGCTGAGCTTCAGCGTCCACTCTGGGTTAGTTTCACATCCAGATCCTCTGGGAGGGAGGAGGGGAGGCAGACATCACTTCTCGGCTTCCTCATGGCTGAGCCGCTGACTCCGAACCTGTGGATTTCGAGGGAGAATGCTGCTGGAAGTCACGGGATCCCATCTCCTTTGAGGCAGCCCCTGGGCATCTCTGTCCTGTTAGCTTAAATGTGCAAGTGCCATCCAAATAACACCTCCCCCTTCCTCCCAGGAAACACAGTGTCAGTGGAGGAGGCCAAGCTACCTTGATGAATCAGGGGAAGTGGCCTTAGCTCTAAATGGCACTGCAGCCCTGTGCTCATCACAATCAGAAATGCTCCAAGGACATCGTCGATTCCCATCCAGCCCACCAGAATCTCAGGGCAGTATGGAGCTCTCTAGAGCTCTGGGCTGACACCTAGACAATCCCGTTGGTGCAGCGCTCTGACAAACTGCCCGTAGTCAGGGTACTGAATGGAGGATACCTGCCCAGCATCCTTGGCCTAGTCGGTGGCCGGGGCTGCTGCCCGGAGTCAGACAAGCAGGCCTGGTGCTGTGTTACAGCACGTTAAAGCCACGGCATGCAGTGCTGTCTTTCCATGTCGGTGCCAGTGTGGTTCTGGCTGCCCACTTCCAATCCAGCTCCCTCCTAACATGCCTGGGGAAGCAGTGGAGGATGTCCCAATTCCTTGGGCCCCTGCAGCCACATCAGAGACCCAGAAGAAGGTCCTGGATCCTGACTTCATATTGGCTCAGTTTGGCCATCACGGTCATTCCAGGAGTGCACTGGCAAATGGAAGACCTCTCTCCCTCTCATACTCTCGCTCTCATACTCTCTCAATCTCGTTCACCTGCACTTGTTCTGTTTCTAATTCTTTTTTTTTTATTTTATTGATTTTTTTTGACAGGCAGAGTTAGTGAGAGGGAGAGACAGAGACAAAGGTTTTCCTTCTGTTGGTTCACCTCCCAAATGGCCACTATGGCCAGCGCTACACCAATCCAAAGCCAGGAGCCAGCTGCCACCTCTTGTTCTCCCACGCGGCTGCAGGTGCCCAAGCACTTGGGCCATCCTTCACTGCCCTCCTGGGCCACAGCAGAGAGCTGGACTGGAAGAGGAGCAGCTGGGAATAGAACCTGGTGCCCATATGGGATGCCGGCATTACAGGCAGAGGATTAGCCAAGTGAAACACATTGCCGGCCTTCTAATTCTTAGAAATAAATGAAATAGGCCGGCGCCGCGGCTCACTAGGCTAATCCTCCTCCTAGGGGCACCAGCACACCGGCTTCTAGTCCCGGTCGGGGCGCCAGATTCTGTCCCGGTTGCCCCTCTTCCAGGCCAGCTCTCTGCTGTGGCCAGGGAGTGCAGTGGAGGATGGCCCAGGTGCTTGGGCCCTGCACCCCATGGGAGACCAGGAAAAGCACCTGGCTCCTGGCTCCTGCCATCGGATCAGTGCGGTGCGCCGGCCACAGCGCGCCGGCCGCGGCGGCCATTGGAGGGTGAACCAACGGCAAAGGAAGACCTTTCTCTCTGTCTCTCTCTCACTGTCCACTCTGCCTGTCAAAAAATAAAAAAAAATTAAAAAAATTAGAAACAAAGAAATAAATGTTTTTATTAAAAAGCCACATTATCATCTCATTAGATAGAGAAATAGGCCGGCGCCGCGGCTCACTAGGCTAATCCTCCGCCTTGCGGCGCCGGCACACCGGGTTCTAGTCCCGGTCGGGGCGCCGGATTCTGTCCCGGTTGCCCCTCTTCCAGGCCAGCTCTCTGCTGTGGCCCAGGAAGGCAGTGGAGGATGGCCCAAGTGCTTGGGCCCTGCACCCCATGGGAGACCAGGAAAAGCACCTGGCTCCTGGCTCCCGCCATCGGATCAGTGCGCCGGCCGCAGCGCGCCGGCCGCGGCGGCCATTGGAGGGTGAACCAACGGCAAAAGGAAGACCTTTCTCTCTGTCTCTCTCTCTCACTGTCCACTCTGCCTGTCAAAAAAAAAAAAAAGAAAAAAAAAAAAGATAGAGAAATAACCTGAAAGATCCAATCCCATTCATGATAAAAAAAAAAAAAAACTTCCACAAAGTAGGTATAAAAGGAATAGGCATCAAAATCTTAAAGGCTATGTATCACAACTCAACAGCCAATGCCATGCTGGATGGGCAAAAAGTGAAAGCATTTTGTCAAACATGTAACAACACAAGGATATCCCCTTTTAAAATTCTTACTGAATGCAGTACAGTAAATTTTCACAAGAGAAAGAAAGGAGAAGAAAGAAATAAACAGCACCAATGTTATAAAGAGAAAGTGAAATTCTAAAAGCTTACAGATGGCATGATATGGTACCAGAAAAAAACTAAAACAATCCACCAAAAACACTGCTAGAACTGGTGAAACAATTAAGTGAAGTTTCAGGTTATGAATAAACATAGTATGTAAGCAGCAGTGTTTATACATTAATGATGAACTCACTGATAGAGCAATCAACAAATATCCCAAGGACAATAACCACATAAATAAAAAGTTTATGAAAAAATTTATTCAAAGAAGTCAAAGAGCTCTAAATGAAAATCACCATACACTGATGAACGAAATCACCAAGGACACAAAAGTGGAAAGATGTCTCTTTTGGTGGATTTGAAGAATCAGTATAATTAAAATCTCTACCTTGCCTAATGCTACCTAAAGATTCAATTAAATTTTCATCAAAACACCAATGACGTTTTTTACAGAATTATATACCACAAACCTATAATTCAAACAAAATCACAGAAGATGAAGAATAGATAAGGTGTTTCTGAGCAAAAAGTGAAACAAAGTTAGCCTGGATACCTCACAACACCTGATTCAAAGCATTCTACAAATGACACTAAACAAAATATCATAGCACTTGCATAAAAAGTGACACACAGAGCAATGGAAAAGAACAAGGTGAGCTCCACTATTAATCAAAATATGTTCAATACCATTTTTACAAAAGGTCTCAGACCATCCATTGGAGTTCTTCAACAAGTGGTGTTGCCAAAAATGGATGTATTTGTGTAGAACATTGAAATTGATTCATAACTCCAACAAAATATGAAAATCAACTCAAAATGGATCAGAGACCTAAATCTATGACCCAGGACTGTGAAGCTTTTTGAAGGAAATACAAAGAAAGCTCCAAGACACTGGAATAGGGGATGACTCTTAGACAAGACCCTCAAAGCCCAGGCAGCTAAAGCAAAACCAACAAATGGGATCAAATGAAATGAAAAGCTTTGCACAGCAAAGGAAATCATCATAGAGTGAAGAGACATTCACAAGAATGACCAAAGGATACTTGTCAGCAACCTATATGATAAGGGTTAATATCAGGAATACATCTGCAACTTAAAAAAAAACACCAATAAAAAACCCAACCAATCCAGTTATGAAGTAGCCAAAGGAGCTCAACAGACAGTTCCCCATCGATATACAGATGGCCAAGAAATATAGGAAAAATGCGCAACATCACCAGCTATCAGGGAGATGCAAATCCAAACCACAATGAGATATCAGCTCACACGTACATACTGGCTAAAACCCAAAGGACGGAGAGTCACAATGAGGAGGAAGATGTGGGAAAAGGGAAAAACTTACCCACTGGTGGTAAAAATGTAAATTAGTGCAGATGCTGTGGAAAACGGTATGGAGATTTCTTAAAAAACCAGACAGACTTGCCATACGATATGGAGCAATCCCTCTACTGGCTATAACCCAAAACACATGAACATATTGTATCAGAGAGATATGTACACCACAATATTTATTGCAGTATGCTTCACAGCAGCGAAAACAAGAAACTGACGAAGTCTTCTAACATCATCGTTGAATGGGTAAGAATAATACTATACACATACCACACACACACAGAGTGAAACAACCTTACAAATCCTCTTTCCACAAACTTTTCAAGGACCCACATGATGCTCTCTGCATTACCTTAAGTAACTAGAACAAATGTGGGCACATCACAGACACTCCTTTGAAACCCAGAAAAACACGTTTACCAAGAGAAAGTCCTCTGCTATAATTCTGACTTCTACAAACTGAATACAAGTCACAAACTTCATTCCCAGGCTATGTCAGTTTCTCCATGTACCTAAGCCCCCTATCAACACTTATCTGATTTCAACTAAGATCTTCTCCATCTCTTGGTAGTCGGGACACTTTGGTCAAATTTCCTGATTAACTCAGCACCATTCCCCAGTACCTTCTGAAAGGTCCCTCTGACTACCTCCTGATATCCTTTCCCTCACTTTAACTAAGGTTTCTCCCCAGGCCCTGTCCTGGATCTAACACTCTGATGCTCCACTAGTTCTTACAAGTAGTTCTACCAGCTCCTCCCTATTACAACTCTCCTCAAAGTCACCTGCCTTCCTCCATGCAATCCTTCTCTTTTCCCTTTCTATCACTGGATGGTGACATACAGAAATAACCTGTTTTCAGCTCCCCGAACCTTGCATGAACCAGGTTCTTCCCATGGCATCTAACCCTCCACTCCCACTGCAAAGTACTTGCAATCCCATCGTCCTTAGCCTGAAACTCTAAAACATCAAACTACTACCACGTCTCCCAAAGCAGACTTCTTATTTTGTACTCTGAGTCAACACATGCAGTTTTCCTCCCAGGTCTCCCTCCCACTGCCTGGAGACACAGTCTTCCCATATAAACATGTTCTTTGGCCCCTAATTTCTGCAGCACCCGAGGGAACGCATTCACCAACATCTTATTCACCTCTGTCTCTGTGGCCAACACTCTATTCTAGGAATGCTAGGCCCCCACATTTCTGTCTCCAAATGTCTATAGGGCTCCCCCACTTGACCCTCCTTCCAAAGCTTGGAAGTCCACCTTACTCTCAGCCTCGCCAGCCAACTCCAGGAACAGAGGTCCCTTCCCTTCCCTTCTCTCCCCCTTGGCCCAAAGGCTGCCATCTACAGGACGCAGCCATGTCTACTAACCAGTTGCTCCTGTCCAGGGTGAAGGCCTAGCCGGGTTTTACAAGGAAGATGAGCAGGCTCCAAAATGGAAGATTACCAGCAGCTGAACTTCAGCGTCAACTCGGTGTCCAGTTTCATATCCATGAAAATGTCTACAATGAAAATTAATAAACATTAAAGAAATGGAAGAAGACACACAAAAATGAAAAATCTGCCATGTTCATTCATTGGTAAAATCGACAAAATGAAAATTTCCATTCTACCATAGCAATTTAGAGATACAAGGGATCCCAACCAAAGGACAAATAACATTTTGCCCAGATGGAAAGAAAACAATGCTAAAATTCATATGAAAACATAGAACATCTGAATACTGAAAGCAACCTATACAACATTGACAAAACTCAAAGCGTCGCAATAACATGTAAGACACAGAACAGGGCAGTTACGATCAAAACAGCTTGGTACAGGCAAAAAAAATGACATATAGAACAATGGAACAGAAAAGAAACACCTGAATAACGCACACATCTACAACTACTCTGTCTTTTAAAAGTGCTAAAGATCAATCCAGGTGCAAAGGACAGTTTCTTCAAAAACTGGTCCTGAGAAAACTGGACCTCCACATGCAGAACTCTGAAAGAAGCCCGATACCTTACACCTTATACAAAAAGCAATGAAAAACACTTCAAGAACAAAATCTAAAACTGAGTATCATCAAATTACGAGAGAACACTAGTCCATTAGGGTACAGGTTCACATCTGTGTCCTCCTGGGGGGAGGGGAGGTTGACACCAGCGTCTCGGCTTCCTCACAGTTGAGCTCCCACCCACCCCCACTGCCTCCAAACCTGTGGATTTGGGGGGAAAACACCGCTGGGAAGCCCTGAATCCCGCATCCTTTGAAGAAGGCCCGGACATTTCACTGTCCATAATCTCAAAAGCAGCAAATCCCTCCCGCACTCTCCAAGCCTCCCGTGCCGCTGCCAATAACACCGCCAGCCTACCACGACGCCACTCCACAGACATCTCCTACTTCTTCCCGAGGCCTACTGCTCAAGTGCCGTCCAACTAACACCCCCCCTTCCTCCCAGAATACACAGCGTCAGCGGAAGAGGCCGCACTGCCTTGATTAACCAGGGGCGACCTGAGCCCCAGCCTGACATGCCCACCCTGTGCTCACCATGACCAAATGCCTCCAAGGGCATCGTTGCTCCCAATCAGCCCATCAGAAGCTCAGGGCAGTGTGGAGCTCTCTAGACCTCCAGGCTTACACCCAGCCACTCCTGCATGGTGCAGCGCTCTGCCAAACTGCCTGGGTCAGGGTACTGAACGGCAGATACACACCCAGCATCCTTGCCCTTGTCTGTCCCGGGCTGCTGCCAGGAGTCAGACAACCAAGTGCACGATGTGTTGCGCTCCGGACAGAGAGGTCAGGTGGGGACAATCACTGTGTACCTAAATTGCATTTATGAAATGCATGGAATTGGATCTCTTAAATACAAAACATATCTTATGAGAACACCTGCACTGTCTTTCTTGGTCATTCCCTCGCCCCTCCCCTATGTCACAATTGTAGGTGACTCAGTCGCTCATCACTGTGTCCCTGGGAACAGACTGCCTTGCTGGAAGTCCTAACTCAGAACTTTTCATCCCACAACTTGCAGAATACACATTCTTCTCATCAGCCCCTGGAACTTTCTCTAGGACACAACATATGATAGGCCATAAAACAAGCTTAGTAACTCAGTAACTGAAATCATTTCACGCATCTTCTATGACCAAAATTCAAGGAAATGGGAAATCAACAACTCAAGAAACTCCAAAACATATGCAAACACATGGAGACCAAACGACATGCTCCTGAATGAATGGTGGGTCGTAGGAGAAATCAAAATGGAAATCAAGAAATTTCTGGACATGATTGAAGATAACAACACACAACACAGCAAAACGTATGGGACACAGCAAATACAATGTTAAGAGGACACTTGATAACAACTTGTGCCTACCACAAGATATTGGAAAGGCATCAAATAAATGAGCTTTTCAATGCATCACAAAACCTGAAAACCAACATATCAAACTCCAAATTAGCAGGATGACAGAAATCATGGAAATTTGAGAAGAAATAACAAAGTTGAAGCAAAAACATTACAAAAGATCACTGAAATGAAAGCTCATTAAAAATTTTTTTTACAAACTTGCTGAAAATCTCCAAAACAACAAACAACAAAAAAACGGAATAAGACCCAATGAGTAAAATCATAAACAAAAACAACTGTAATAACAGAAACCCAATAAATAAAAAAAAAACATCGGGAATTACTACAATGTACTGTTTGCCAATGAATTGGTCACTCAATAAGTCTGCCTTTCATTTAAATAAATATTAAAAAACATATAATTATTTCAATAGATGAAAACAGCTGGAAAATATGCAAAAACCTTTCAGAAAGAAAGCCTTAGGCAAACTGACAGTAGAATATTCCTCCACACAATCAAGGCAATTTATGTCAAACCGACTGATAGCATCTTATGAATGGGGACAAGTTGGAAGCATTCCCAACTATGATCTGGAATCAGACAAGGATGTACTCTCATTATTGCTATTCAATATAGATCTGGAAGTTTTAGAGCCATTAGGCAAGAAAAAGAAATCAAATGGATACAAATTGGGAAGGAGGAAGTCAAACTATCCCTCCTTCAAACATGATTTTTCAAATGGGGGAACCAAGAAACTCCACTATGAGATTATTAGAACTCAGAGTTTGGAAAAGTGGCACGATAAAAATCAACACACAAAAATCAATAAATTTGTATACACACAATGTCATGGCTAGAGACAACTTCAAAGATCCATTCCATTCACAATAGCTACTAAAATTTAAATACCTTTGTAAAGGTAACCAAGGAGGTTGAAGATTTAAAAAAGCAACTCCAATACTTTTCCAGCTATTTTAAAATATTGAGCTGGATGGAATAGGATTCAACTCTACAAACACTTTTTGTGAGGCCAGAATTACTCTGACCACAAAAGATAGCTAAACACTGAATGTAAATAAAACTGCTGGCCTAGATCGTAAATGAAAAAGATGCAAACATTCTCAACAAAATTCTAGCCAAACAAAACCAAAATCACACGCAAAAGCTCATGTATAACCTTTGATTGGAATTCATCCCAGAAATGCCATGATGTTCCACATTTTCAAATTAATACACATGATAAATTATATCAAACTAATTGAAGAACAAAACCACATTGTCAGCCAGCGCCGTGGCTCACTAGGCTAATCCTTCGCCTTGTGGCACCGGCACATCGGGTTCTAGCCCCGTCGGGCGCCGGATTCTGTCTCGGTTGCCCCTCCAGGCCAGCTCTCTCTTTGGCCCGGGAGTGCAGTGGAGGATGGCCCAAGTACTTGGGCCCTGCACCCCTGGGAGACCAGGAGAAGCACTTGGCTCCTGCCATCGGATCAGCGGGTGCACTGGCCACAGCATGCCGGCCGTGGTGGTCATTGGAGGGTAACCAACGGCAAAAGGAAGACCTTTCTCTCTCTCTCTCACTGTCCACTCTGCATGTAAAAAAAAAAAAGAAAAAAAAAACACATTGTCAGGGCCAGCACTGTATTGCAGTGGGTTAAGGCCACAACACACAATGCCTTCCATTCATATGTGTGCCATTCGCATCCAGGCTGCTCCTCTTCCAATCTAGCTCCCTTCTAATGTGCCTGGGAAAGTGGCAGAGGATGTCCCAATTAGTTGGGCCCTTTCAGCCACATGGGAGACTTGGAAGAAGGTTCTGGATCCTGACTTCATACTGGCTCAGTCTGGCCATTGAGGTCATTTAGGGAATAAACTAGCAAATAGAAGACCCCTCTCCCTCTTTTCCTCCCTCCCTTTCTTTTGCTCTTGCTCTATCTCTATCATCTATATCATTCTTGCAAACAAATGAAATAAATCTTTTGAAAAACCACATTATCATCTAATTAGATACAGAAATATCAATAGAATAAAAAGGATTAAAAACTACACAAAATAGATACAGAAGGAATACATATCGAAATCATAACGGCTATGTATGACATGTCAACAGCCAATGTCATGCTGGATGGGGAAAATTTGAAAGCATTTTTGTCAAACATGTAACAACACAAGGATGTCCCTTTTTACCACTCTTTCTGAATGTAGTACTGTAAATTTTCACAAAAACAATGAGAAGAAAGAAAGAATCAGTAATAGGTTTGAAATTGAACATCAAATTCTAAGGGCTTGCTGGTGACATGAGATTGTAACAGAAATACTAATACAATGAACCCAAACACTGCTAGACTGGTGAAACAATTAAGTAAGTTACAGGTTACAAAATAAACATACTGGAGAAACAGCAGTTTTAATACATTAAAGATGTTTTAAAGCTCTATAAATCAATTACCAGATCTTGATAAAAGAAAATCACTAGAACAGAAATAATGAATGAATTCTTTTGATGGATTCGAAGAATGAGTATCATTAAATGTCTACCTTGGCCGGGGCAACAGCTCATAGGCTAATCCTCCACCTGCGGAGCCGGCACAGCGGGTTCTGAGTCCCGTCGGAGCGCCAGATTCTGTGGCGGTAAGCTCCTCTTCCTGTCCAGCTCTCTGCTGTGGCCCGGGAGGGCAGTGGAGGATGGCCCAAGTCCTTGGGCCCTGCACCCGCATGGAGACCAAAGAAGCACCTGGCTCCTGCTTCGAGATCAGCATGGTGCACCGTGCCACAGCGTGTCAGCCGCAGCAGCCATTGGGGGTTGAACCAACGGTAAAAAGGAAGACCTTTCTCTCTCTTGTCTCTTCCTCTCTCTCACTGTCTACTCTGCCTGTCAAAAAAAAATTGTCAACCTTACCTAATGCAATAGAAAATTCATTAAATTGGTTATCAAAATATCAGTGACATTCTTTGTGAAAAACAAAAAAAATGCCTAAAATTCATACAAATCACAGAAGATCCAGACATCGTTGGGGTTCCTTACCAAAAAACAAAACAAACAAAACAAAAGTACCTGGATGCCTCACAACACCTGATTCAAAGCATACTACAAATCAACACTAATTAAAACATCACAGCAGTGCATAAAATGTGACACATTGACCAATGGAAAAAAAACAATGCAAGTCCCAAAATCAATACCAATATGTAGAGACATCTGATTTTGATAAAAGGTCTCAGATATTCACTGCTATAAGGAAAATCTCCTCAAAAACTGGTGTTGGCAAAACTGCATTTATGTACGAGATTGAAATTAGATCCATTACTCACAGAAAAGAAGAAAATCAACTCAAAATGGATCAAGGACTTAGAATGTAAGACCAGGGACTATGAAGCTTTTGGAAACAAATGTAGAGTAAGTACTAGAAGACACTTAAGTACAGATTGACTCTTAGAAAAGACCTTCAGGGCAAAGCAACAAATCAAAACTAATCAATGGGATTATATCAAAGTCAACAGCTTATGGACAGCAAAGGAAATCATCATAAAGAGTCCTCCAACAGAATGAGCAAAAATATCTGTGAGCTACCTACCTATCTGAAAAAGGATTATGTACAGAATACATCCGCAACTTAAAAAAAAATAAAATGAAACAATGAATCCAGATATGAAATGGCCAAAGGAGCTGAAACAGAGTTCTCCATAGAATACAAATGGCCACTGGTTGCCCGGCTCACTAGGCTAATCCTCCACCTGCGGCACCAGACACCAGGTTCTAGTCCTGGTCAGGGTGCCAGATTCTGTGGCGGTTGCTCCTCTTCCAGTCCAGCTCTCTGCTTTGGCCCGGGAGTGCAGTGGAGGATGGCCCAGGTCCTTGGGCCCTGCACCCACATGGGAGACCAGGAGAAACACTTGGCTCCTGGCATCGGATCAGCTTGGTGTGCCAACCACAGTGCACCGGCCACAGCAGCCATTGAGGATGAACCAACGGCAAAGGAAGACCTTTCTCTCTGTCTCTCCTCTCTCACTGTCCACTGTGTTAAAAAAAGTTTAAAAAAGAAATACAAATGGCCAACAATTCTATGAAAAAAATGCTCAATATCACAAGCCATCATGGAAATGCCATCCAAACCACAATGATATGAGCTAGCCCTTTCAAAATGTTAAGCTCCAAAGGACAGAGTCACAATGAGAAGGGGAAGTGGGAAAAGGGGAACACCTACACACTGCTGTTAAATATGTAAATTAGTGCAGGTGCTATGGAAACTGTAGGAAGACGACGCCCTGGGGGCTGGAGGAACCTGAGAGAATGGCCTTTGGGGCCGGTGCGCCTGAAGCACCTGTGGAAGGGGCAGGTGGAGAGGGGAGGGAAGAAAGGTGGGGGACAGGGGAGGGTAGCATGGTGTGTGCAGGCTGGGCTGCAGACTCCCACTGGAAGGCAGGGCCTGGGGGAGGTCCTGGTCTCAATCTAGGTCCATGAGGACCCCAGGTCTTCATTTATAAACCTGCCAGCCATGCCTAACTCCACCACTCAGCCTGCACCTCTATCTCTACAGCTCCCTTCTGGGTCCTGCTCAGAAGAGGGGCCCTCACCCATCTCCCACAGAGCTGCAAGTGACAGGGTGGTGGCAGATGCCACCATGGGGGCCAGAACTCCCTTCCCACATCCCCCAACAGGCAATCCCTGGAGACCACTAGGAGGTGGCTGGTCAGGTGCCCACCAGTGGGAGCTGCCACCCTGAAAACTAGAGCTAGACACAAAGCAGGCCTGGCTCGACACCTCCTCCTGTCATGGCCACCTGACCAGAGAGGCCCACACTGCCCTCTCCTGTCCACTGACTGAACACAGGTTGTGTGAAGTTGAGGTGAGGGACTCAATGCTGGGTGTGGTGGGTTGGAGTGCCGAATCATCGTAGGCACTGTTCCATCCTGATCTGGCCCCCTGTGAACATCACCTTGGAAGGCATAGGGTCAGAGGACACAAAGCCACCACCCCTAAACCACGTCTTCAGGGAGTGTGGCCAGATGGCTGAGCCATGGTGGCCACAAAAGCGACAGACAGCAGCCATGTGGGAAGCCAACGGTAAGAGCAGCTTCAGACCCCATGTTAAGGACCCAGAATCACCTGAGAGGCCCTAGAGATGCCAGCGACCAAGGACACAGCATTACTGGTGCTGATGAGGGGCGAGGGGAGGTCCAGACATGGACCAGGCCTGTGGGCAGCCAGGAATCCCAAGCACCTGTACCACTCCACAGCGTCTCTCCCGTCTCACAAGCACCCAAGACAGAGCTGGGAAAGCTGGGACTCAGCTGGGCACCCGAAGGCCATGCCAGTGTTGGCTGTAGGCCCAGCTGTGCCACCTCGCTGTCCCTGATTCCACCAAACATCAAGTGCCTGAGCTCCTAGAGCTCTGAAGGCGTCCCAGTGCTGAAAATGGTGGGGTTTTAGGGTTTTAAGATTCTTTTTTTTTATTTAAGATGCAGATTTGCAGAGAGAGAGAGAGATCTTCCACCTGCTGGTTCATTTCCCCAATGGCTACAGCAACAAGGCTGGCGCCAGGATGAAGCCATTAACTATGCATGTGCACACCACACACTTGCACAGTACACATACACATGTGAACCTACATGCACACAGAACACACACATACACACACACTAACATCACCGTCACGGTCCCACACAGGTGATCTTATTCCAGGAAGGGGGTGGCCTGCCTGCTGTGGTCCACAGGGAAAACAGAAGCAGTAACCACACCCTGGAGCCACCAGGTGGGCATAACTCTGACGCTGGGGCGCTGAGCAGAGCCAGGTGCAGCATGTGCTCTGGCCCCTCCCCTCCTTCAGGAAATGGAGTCCTGGGGCCCTAATGGGCAGCTGCGAGGACTGGGTTTCACATTGGTTTTGCAGGAATGTGTGGAACCCCTTGGCACTGAGAACGTTCCTGGTCCCAGGTGGGTCTGGCCAGGAGGAAGACTCCCTGACCAGGCCAGCTCTGACTCTTGATCAGGACCTGCATGGCTGTGTCTTCCTCCGTGCAAGACACAAACCACATCCAGAGAGAGGGAACAGAGGCCGGGCCAGCGCACTGAGGACGGCCCTGCCTGGAGACCATGGCCTGTCCCTTCAGGGTCTCCGACACTCACCAGGATGAAAGCAGCCATGGGGTGTGGGTGAGACTTAGGGTCCTGGGTCTCCAGTGCCGGTACCACATGGCCCTAGCGTCCTCTCCAAGGTGAGCTCACAAGGAGATTGGGCGGGGGGGAGGCAGCCCCTTAATCTGGGCCCTTTGGACCATCTGCAGTCACCTGTGTCCAGGACAGGTGCTGGTGTCCTTGCTCCGCTTTGCTGGGTCCCTTCGCTGGGTGCATTTCTGAGTGGACCCACAGACCCCTGAGCCCACTGCCCCCTCCTCAGCAGCCCTCCACTAGGGCCAGCGACCCGCCTGCTGCTCAGGCTCACTGAGGGGGTCTGTCCCCACACACCCCCCAGCCCATGCCAGTTGAACCATGTGCAGGAAGGGCCTGTGGGGCTGAAGTATGCATCCGTGCACAGCCCATTAGAGTTCACTTCTGGACTGAGTGTGTGTGCACTGCATATGTGTGACTGCAGAGCTCAGAGCCAGGCTACAACTGGCTGCATGTAAAACAAACTCAGGAGCTCCAGAGGGGACAGTGTTCCAGAAGCTGCATTCAAAACTCCATAGGGAATAGGAGGGACCTGGGCTCCTCTTCCTTTAAGCGTACTTCAGGGCACCCACGCTCAGCAGCTGCCCCCAGTGTCCACCAGCTCCTGAGGCCATCGCCTGTCCTCTGGCAGCTCCCAGCCTCTAGCGCCCAGCAGGTTCCTAAGGGTGGGGCCCACATGCTTGCAGGGTACATACCTATCAGTGAAGGAGCCCGTGATCTGAGGCCACAAATGCCAAACCAACCGTGAAACACTGTGGGCGAGGACAGGTTAGGGAGGCCCATGGCTACCTTAGCTGGCTCCTGGACACCAGTGACCACCTCTCTCCCTGCAGGGTTCTCACCCCCAACTCCACACCCCTGGACCCCCTCAGCCAAGGCTTCAAACAGCGTTCTTCATAGAAATGGTCCAGGCAGCTATAGACACTTCACTGACCTTGCTGAGGATGGCCCACAGAAGTGCAAGTCCTGGGACGCGGGGTGGTTTCTTCCCACTTGAAAAGCTAGAAATGTGGCCAGGGGTATGGCGGCCCATGGTCTGCAGGAGGCCGGGGTCAGCAGGATCGTCGGGCCACATAGAGCCTGGCTCTGAGTCCCACAGCTTTGTCGAGGATGAGGCCCCGCCATGAAAAAACTCCCCCAGCAGAGAACGGGAACAAACATTCCTGGGGAGAAACCAGGTTTTGCAAGGGCCAGCCAGGCCTGGGCAGGTGGGGCAGGGATACAGAGGCTACAGGGGTTGGGGCACAGTGTCAGCTTCTGTGGCTTCTGTCTCCCTCTAACTGTGCCCCTTCCCCCACTGTGGTTGTGGAAGCTCCCCAGGAGGGCCTGGCCTCGCTGACAGATGCACCAGGGACCCCAGCAGCCCAGATCCTGCAAGGCAACTTCCCACAACACAACACAGTCCCAGTTGCTGACTCTGGAGGTTTCAACGGGTGGGTGTGGGTGGCAGAACCTGCTGTCCCTCTTGGCACTGGGTCCGTGTATATGAGCCCCTCCCCCAAAGTCACTGAGGGGCAGAGACCTGGGTGGGACCCCTTGGGGTGGGGAGGGAGAAATGGTTCCAAGAGGGTGGGGGGGTGTGGCCTGGCAGCTGGAGGTACTCTAGTGGCCGGGCACGGTGACTCTTGGGCAGGTGCCTGTCCATGGGCAGTTTGCTCCACTGCCCACTGCTCCAATTGTTCTAGGCCCTTCCCTTGGCACTGGGCCAGTGTGGAGCCGGGCCAGCATTGATGTTCAATCTGCCTAGACTCTATAATTTGAAGATTTCATTTTCTAAGAATTTTTTCTTTATTTATTTAAGAAGGAGGGAGCGAGAGCGCATGCTCCTCCTAGGTGTCTGAAGTTGCTGGAGCCCCAGGATGAAGCTGGAAACCAGAGTGGAGCCTGGATGGAAACCCAGGTCTCATCCTGGTGCTCTCACTGCTGGGCCCAAAGATTGCCCAAGCAGTTTACACACACTGCATCATGGGTCTAATTAAATGCATCATGGGTCTACTCATGTGTATGAAAAATAGGGAAGTAGAGTTTAGAATACCTTGGCAACTGAAACATCATACTGTCCTTAGCTAAGATCTTAGATAACATAAAAGATTTGGGCAAGGTTCATCTGCCAGTGTCCTTGTCCCACTGTGGTTATGTTCAATTTGTCATCGTTTTCTGGTGACTGTCAATTGAGGGTAAAGCCCACAGCACTGACCTCTTACCCAGCCTGAGGAAGACCTGCGAGCAGAAAAGGGGCAGCTCTGTTGTGATTGATTTGAAGGATGCTGTACACTTACTCATCCCTGCTCTGGGGTTAGTTTAAAACTAGGTTCCATTGGTCATGAGCCCTGTAAGAGCCCATCTACACCTGCCACCCCCGTGATGGGCTGGGAAGTGGACCAATGTGGAGAGAGTGGCCAGTGCACAAGAGCTGAGTGTGCTCCACACTGGCTCACAGTCCCACTGAGGGCAATGACCTCACCTGCACAGAATGTTGGCACAGGCCAGACTTCTGTGATGTCATCCTCCGTGGCAGTTATTAGGCCTTGCTGCCAGCACAGTGGCACAGGGACAGGCGCCGAGGGCAGGGACAGAGCAGGGAGAGAGCAGGTCTGTGGGGAGAGGGGCCTGGGGGAGCAGGGAGTGGTGGACCATGGGTGAGGCAAGGGAGAAGGCAGGATGGGGGTATGGGCACAGGCAGGGTAATGGAGGATGGGGACAAACCAGAGTGGTTACAGGGGTGGGCCAGGGTGGGCCGAGGGAGGGCGAGGGAGGTCCGAGGGAGGGAGAGGGTGGGTGAGGGTGGGCCGAGGGAGGGCGAGGGTGGGTGAGGGTGGGCCGAGGGAGGGTGAAAGGTGGGCGAGGGTGGGCGAGGGAGGGCGAGGGAGGCCGAGGGTGGGCCGAGGGAGGGCGAGGGAGGGCGAGGGGGAGTGGGCCGAAGGTGGGCCGAGTAGGGCGAGGGAGGCCGAGGGAGGCCGAGGGTGGGCCGAGTGAGGGCGAGGGAGGGCGAGGGGAGGGCCGAAGGTGGGCCGAGGGAGGGCGAGGGAGGGCGAGGGTGGGCGAGGGTGGGCCGAGGGAGGGCCGAGGGTGGGTGAGGGTGGGCCGAGGGAGGGCCGAGGGTGGGGCCGAGGAGGGCGAGGGTGGTGCCGAGGGGTGGTGCCGAGGGAGGGCGAGGGTGGGCCGAGGGAGGGGCGAGGGAGGGGGCGAGGGAGGGCCGAAGGTGGGCCGAGGGAGGGCGAGGGAGGGCGAGGGTGGGCGAGGGTGGGCCGAGGGAGGGCCGAGGGTGGGCGAGGGTGGGCCGAGGGAGGGCGAGGGTGGGCCGAGGGAGGCGAGTGGTGGGCGAGGGTGGGCCGAGGGAGGGCGATGTGTGGGCCGAGGGTGGGCGAGGGAGGGCGAGGGTTGGGCCGAGGGTGGGCCGAGGGAGGCTGAGCATGGGCTTCTTGTGGAATTGGGAGGGAGAAGGGGAACACGGGGTGATGGTGGTGGCAGGCATGGAATGGGGCACTGGATCCAGGACAATGGGGAGAGCAGTGGAAGAGGAGACTGGGGGGGCATGGGGGGCTCTCTGTAGCATTCATGCTGCACCATGGGTACGTGGGGAGAGTGTTGGGTATTTCTCAACCCAACCTGGCCTTCCCTCCCTTGTGAAATGGCAAGGGTTTGAATCCCTGGAACCAGATCCAACTCATTGCCTGTGTTTATAAATAAAGGTTCCACATTGATCTGAAAACTACCATGTGGTGTGTAATTTTTTCCACAAAGATTTATGCATTGGAAACAGAAATGAGCAAAAGAGGTGGTGACAGAGAGGTCTTCCTTCCTCTGGTTCACTTCCACAGGACCCCAACAGTCAGGTAGGGGCCAGGATGGAGCCTGGAGCAGGGAACTCCTACTACTCTCCTAAATGGGTGGTAGGGCCAAAGTACTTGGCCTGGATCTGCTGTATTCCTAGGCACACAAGCAGAAGACCTGGATGGGAAGTGGAGCAGCTGAGACTTGAAATAGTGCTCCAACGTGGGAGCTTAGCTGAGCAGAAGCTCCAAAAAGGTTGGCTCCCTTGTGAAGTGTCAGTGAGTGTAAGAGTTTGCACACCCTAGGGATGGAAGGTGATGTTCCATCTGCTAGTTCACGTGCACACCACCTGGGTACTACTGCCTGAGACAGTGTTGGGACCCCCACAGGCATACATAAAATCTTTGGCACCATCCCCTTGCCAGCTGAGGGAGGCCTGGTTTTGAGTGGAGAGCTTCACTGAAGAGGGCCGACTCACCTCGTGGGACTAGAGATGGGAGGGGAGGTCCTGAGCCCAGCAGGATCCTAGGCTGTGTCCGGTGCTGAAGGAGGCTCATGTCTGGCTTTCCCCAGCAATGTGTCCGACAGCTATGAAACACGACAAAACCAACAACTTTAAGGCCTCTGGGAATCCACCAAAAAAAACCCAACCAACCCAACCACAAAACAGACAGCACTGATTGATGGAGAATTGCTGACTGCCCAGGAAAGAAGAGTGGGAGAAGGTGGTATGCTGGCCTGGAGCTGTGTCCCTTTCCTCCCCACCCTGAGCTTGTGGTGCTACCAGGGTGGGTAAAGGTGTCTATCAAAACCAGCAGTTTGGTTTGTTGGACATGGTGCTGAGGGGAGAGCAAGGAAACCCAGCTCAAGTCCTCACCAGTAAAAAGAGCAAACTTCACAGGACAGAATGCAGGAAAGTGGCAGTCCTGCTGGCCAAAGGTTAGAGGCCCTTTGGGACAGGGGAAGACCAGTGTGCCAAACAATTTTTTATTTTTTTTATGATTAGGTATTTATTTGAAAGCCCAAGATACAGAGACTGTGACATAGAGAGATCTTCCATCCAACTGGTTTACTCCCAGGTGGTTGCATCAACCACTATGGGACCAGCCAAAGCCGGGAGTCAGGAGTCAGGAGTCGAGACTTCCCGGTCTCCCAGTGAGGGTGCAGGGCCCCAAGCACTTGTTCCATCTGCCACTGCTTTCCCCAGGACATTCGGGAGAATCCTGATCAGAAGTGGAACAGCCTGGATACAAACCAGTGCCCATATGGGATGCTGGCATTACAAAAGGTGACTGAACCTACTATGCTACAACACTGGCCCCCAATTTTTTTATTGATTGGAAAGGCAGGGACACACAAAAGAGAAAAAGACAGATGGGGAGAACGTCCATCCTTGTTTAGCCCTCCAAATAGGTACACACATCCATGGCTGGGCCAGGCAGGAAGCCAGGACCCAGGCATTCAACCTGGGTCCATGTGGGTGGCAAGGACCCAACAACTTGAGCCCTACCTGTTGTCTCCCAGGGTGGGTATTACAGGAAACTGGAACTGGAAGGAGAGCTGGGACTTGAACTCAGGTCCTCTGTTATGGGATGGGAGCGTCCCAACAGGTGGTGTCATCGCTGTGCCACACACCCTCCCCCAGAGAGAAGTTTACCAGGAGAATCCTGGATGCCATGGTTGGGCTAGACTGAACTCAGCAACCAGGAGCTTCATTCACATCTCCCACGTGGGAAAGCAGAGAAGATGGCCCATGTCTTTGGGCCTCTGAATCCAACTGGGACACCTGGGGGAAGCTCTCTGAGCCATGGCGTGCATGAAGATCTGCTCCACCCATCCATGGAGAGAGAGCCATGTTCCCAGAACCAGCTCTCTGTGGCTGCTCCACCTTGGGTTTTGAGCCCTGAGCCTCTGATACGTTGAGTGCCTGGGAGTACCTCACAGTTTTACCTGGGTACACAGCCCCCATCAATCCTCCCAGCCAGACTCAAGGTCAGTGGGGAACAGGGACTTTGCTCTCTGGCAATATCCCTGGATCCCACACGTGCACCAAGAGTCACTCGCCACAGCCCCTCCTTGTTTCACAATGGCACCTTCTCCCCACCATCCTCCAGCTGAACTGCCAGCTGCTGGGCACATGCCTGAGACCTGCTCAGCTGCTACTTACACCCATAATTCCACCTGCCCTCTCTCAGCCACCTGTTTGTGGGGAAACAGGGAGAGGGAAATGTGCCCCTTTGTCCCACTGGGTAAGTGGATGCCCTGTCGCAATCAGGACTCCAGGCCGCATTCACAGACAGCGCAGTCGACCAGGCTCTCCCTCCAGCTAGATCACCAGTGTCACAGGTTTCTGCACTCTGATCTCACTCACTCTCCAAAGCTGGTGCAGTCTCCTGCTCTCGGCTCCTGGGGTCATGTGCTGTGTCTGTGCTTGCTGCTTTGCGTCCACGTGGGCCTTCCACCATGATCCACGGTGTCCTTCTTCCTTCCTCAGCACTTCCTGTAGTTTGCTCTCCAAGTCTCCCCTAAGAATATACTTCATCCACTTTTTTTTTTGCTGTTTTCCCCTAGCCTAAAGCAGTACACCCCTTCCCCATTCTGCTCTTTTGGAATCTCCAAGATGCTTTACTTTAAAATGGCTATGCCTCATGAACGGGCATAGCAACACAGCAGAACACAATTTATTGTTTAGAGGTCCGGCATAAGCAAATTCAGTTCAGAGTACTAATGTTAGATTTCGTGGCATTTATTCTCACTAGTTAATTTTCAGAAGTCTTACTAACAGTAAGGAATCCTTTGGGAAATTTAGCAGTTTCCTTGCTGAAAACCACTGGGTTACATTGTTTTGGGAGTGGAACATTGTGCCCTCCTTAGAACATTAGTGAAGGCCTTGATAGTCACTCTTTGGCAAACAACTCTGCTGCTGAAAATACAAAGGGAGAGACAGGAGTGACATTTGCATTTGATTTAGATAGTACTTTGTTCTCAACTATTTATGGTCTCCTTTCCTCTTCAGAATGCACTTGTACCACAGCACACACACACACACACCCACATTCCTCTGATATAAAGTATTCTGTACAGAGAATCGAGCCAATTAACTGAGACGTGAGCAATGTAGAGAGTAGAGTGTAAGGAGAGAAAAATTCACTGCTCTACAATTATATCAAACACGATGAAGATTCACTGCCGGTCTGATGTCTGTTTAGGGGATCATATGAATACAGCTTTTCCCCTTCTGGTTTCCATTTAGCTGTGCTGTTCAGATTTTTTTTTCATGTTTTGGTAATCTTCCTTTAATATCTGTACAAGAGTAACATTGCATGTGGCATTGCTACCAGTACTCCACTATGTGATACTTATTTTAAACACCTTTGATAGTCTGAGAAAATTTGATGGGTTAGTTTTTTTCTGGAGCAATTCCTTTACTTCACTTATTTTAACCACTGCTTTTGGTAATGCTGTTTATGAGGAGTTGTACTTCACTTCTTGCTCCTGGAATCACGACTATCATGAATATTCTGCTTTCTGACTCCTGGCAGCTCAGGTGAGATGACTCAGCCTTTTGAAAAGCCCTACTCAGCAGTTGCACTCCCAGAATATTTCTGACTTTCTTTCAAAATATTTTAAACCAAAAAGATTTGAAGGCAAAAATGAGAAAAGGTTGAAATTAAGTTATATACATATATTGCATATCTTATCTTTGTTTTTCAAATTTATTTCTGTAGTGGAATATAAGCACTCTAAGGGCTAAGCCATGCATATACTACAATAAACATTTATGGAATGTGGTATTTATTTTCAAAAGCCTCAACAAAAAGCAGCAGTAAAGCTGAAATATCATATGTTTGAGAAATAATAATACCAATATCCAAAATGTTAGAATGATGCAATTATTTGTTTCTGACTACAGATTTCCTGATATGATCATGGTATATAGTTTAGCATTAGACCAAGATTTATTGCCTCATAAAAACAACATTAAAATAATTTATTTTGTGTGAATTAGAATTCTAAGACATAAAAAATGAGAATTAAACCTTGATTCAAGAAATTTTTGAAAAGTGCATTGAAGGATCATAGGCAGCATACAAAAGAACCCCTGAAGAAGATAGTGAACCACAACCAGGAGCAAGACACAAATAGAGTCCTCTGTGTGGCTGAGATTCTAAACTACAACTTGTCCCCAGATCTTGATCTTTCGATTTGCTTACCGAAGGCTCCCACTGTCACTGATGCAGGCTTTTGGTGTCACTATCGTACCAGTGCAGGCACTGCTGCCTGTGAAAGCTCAGTGACCTTACAACTGCTGAAGTCACTGCCAGAAATGACAACTTAGCAGCTTCTTTCCAGCTGAGGGCAGCTGTCTGTGTTTGGCTACATGACAGCATATGTCTACCCTAGGGGTAATACACACCAGGAAATCATGTATTTGGCATATTTACTTCTTCTTGGCAACAATTCCAAAACTGGAAAACAACGTTGCCAATATAAAATGTTACACCCTCTGCACATTCACCCAGCATTCTGTAATATCATTTGTAAAAGTCTTTTTTTTTGAAAGGCAGAGAAAGAGTGAGGGGGGGGTCCCCTATCCACTGGTTCACTCCCCAGATGGCTGCAATGGCAGGAGCTGCGCTGATCTGAAGCCAAGAACCAGGAGATTCCTCCAGGTCTCCCACGCTGGGGCAGAGGCTCAAGCACTTTGGCCATCTTCTGCTGCCTTCCCAGGCCATAGCAGAGGGCTGGATCAGAAGTGGAGCAGCCAGGACTCAAACCTGTGCCCATATGGGATGCTGGTACTCCAGGTGGCAGCTATACCTGTACATCACAGCGCCTGCCCCCAATATCTTCTGAACTCTAGTTGGCCCCATAATATATTCTTGACCAGTAAGGTGCACCTGGAAATGAGCTGAACATGGTCCAAATACTTAAGTGCTACCACTCACATTATAAACTTGGATGGAGTTCCAGGCTCCTGACTCCATCAGGGATTACAGCCATTCTGTTAGTGAACCAGAGAAAGATCTCTTTTCCCACTATGTCTCTTTGTCTCCCCCTCTTTCTCTGTCACTCTGCCTTTTAAATAATAATAATAAAATGGCCAACAAACACTTGAAAAAATACTTAGGATCACTAATCATTAGGGAAATGAAAATCAAAACCACAATGAGGTTTCATGTCACTCCACATAGAATGGCACTCACACAGAAATCAACAAATAACAGAGGCTGGCGAGCATGCGATGAAAAAGGTACTCTGGTCCACTGTTGGTGGGAATGTAAACAGGGGCAGCCACTGTGGAAGACAGTATGGAGATACCTCTATAGACCTACCCTATGATCCAGCCACCCCACTGCTGCAAATTGTCTTCAAACAGTACTTTATACGTTTTGTGTCTGTGTGGGTGCTTTGTGTCTGTATGGGTGCAAACTGTTGAAATCTTTACTTAGTATAGACTTGGTATTCTATATAAAAATAATTAAAAATGAATCCTAATGAAGAATGGGATGGGAGGAGTATGAGGTGGGACGGGAGTTGGGGTGGGAGGGGGCTCTGGGGGGGAAGAACCACTATATTCCTAAAGCTGTACCTATGAAATTTGTATTAATTAAATAAAAGCTAAAAAATTAAGAGTGGGAATGGAATAGGAAGAAGGGTTAGAGCATGGGTGGGAGGAGGATAGGGTAGCAAGTATCACTGTGTTCCTAAATCTGTATATATGAAATACATGAAACTTGTATAACTTAAATAAAATTAAAAAATAAGTGATTCCAAGATCTGCAAAAAGAAAAATTAAACAAATACAAGAAAGCAGAACACATTATAATCTTAGTGTCCCATTAACAGACAGTGTCAACTACCAGTCTTCTGAGTGAGCCCAAACACCAGTAGTCTCAACTGACATCATAACCCCCTGAAGGGTCACAGACAGGAACTGATCAACGGAGTCCAGAAAGCTCACTAAATCCACTGAGACATGAGAGTGCAAAACAAACTATTCCTGGAGACAACATTATGGCATTTCAGGTAAAGCTACCACCTGCAGGGCTGGCATCCCATACAAGTCAGTTCAAGTCCCAGCTGCTCCCTGCTAATGTGCCTGGGAGAGCAGCAGATGAGCCAAGTCCTTGGGACCTTGCTACCTATGGTAAAGATCAGGATGCAGTTACAGGCTCCTGGTTCAGAGTGGCCCAGCTCGAGCTCTTGTGACCATTTGGGGTATAAACCAGAGGGTATAAAATGTCTCTCTGGGGTCCAGTGCTGTGGGGTAGTGGGTAAAGCCACCACCTGCAGTGCAAGTGCCCATGGTGCCAGTTTGTACCCTGGCTACCCCACTTCCAATCCGGCTTTCTGCTGTGGCCTGGGAAAGCAGTAAAAAATGGCCCAGGTACTTCTACCCCTGCACCGTGTGTAAGAACCAGAAGAACATCTTGGCTCCTGGCTTCAGATATGCCCAGTCTGACCATTGAGGCCATTTGAGGAGTGAACCAGCAGCCAGAAGACCTTTCTCCACCCCTCCCCTCTCCCTCTCTGATTCTCTGTAACTGTCAAATAAATCAAAGAAAGAAAAGTGGCCCTGATGAGGGATGCAAACATTTCTTAAAAAAATAAAGAAAATGTCTATCTTTCCCTCTCTCTGTAGCTTTGCCTTTCAAATAAATAACCCTTTTAAAAGAATATTATTCAGGACGGTGCTGTGGCACAGCAGGTTAAGGCCCTACCCTGAAGTGCCAGCATCCCATATGGGCGCCAGTTCTAGCTCCACTTCCAATCCAGCTCTCTGCTATGGTCTGGGAAAGCAGAAGATGGCCCAAGTCTTTGAGCCCCTTGCACCCACATGGGAGACCCAGAAGAGGCTCCTAGCTCCTGATTTTGCATCAGCCCAGCTCTGGCTGTTGTAGCCATTTGGGGAGTGAACCAACGGATGGAAGGCCTCTCTCCTCTGTCTCTACCTCTCATCCAAATAAATAAAGATAAATCTGTAAGAAAATAATATATTATTAAGTCATCACATTTTGAAATAATGTTACATTAGATATAAGAAAAGAAAGTAATTTTGCAAATGCAGAAGTAGTGTGCCTATCTCCACAGAAAGAAGGTAGAGGAGGAGAGGAGGAGAAGAAAAAGGAACCAAAATAAAAGATACAGGGTAACTACAGATTTAGGAATCAGAGGTAGACATTTGGCCTAGAGGTTAAATTGTTGGTTGGGTTGCCCATGTCCCATACCTGAGTACTTGGTCTCAACTTCCATCTTTGCCCTAGATTCCAGTTTCCTGCCAATGCAGAACCTAGGAAGCAGTGGTAATGACTCAAATAATTTGGTCCTTGACATGCACTTTGGACAAAGAATAAACAGAAACAATTCTGCAAATTATAACTGGCCCTGTTTCCTTCAAACCACCAAAAGCAGACAAGATAGTAACTGAAAAATAGTACCATTTCTTGAGTGATAGGGACTCTGCTAGATGCCTCCTGTAAGAGTCTTTATTTTTCTTTACTGTTAATAATCATTGATCACAATTTTAAGATATGCCACTTCTTGTTATAAGGTTAAAAAAAAAACACAAGCTCAGAGAGGATAAGTAATTTTCCCATCATTACACAGCTTAGGGCTGCCACAGACCGATTGTGGAGGTAAGTCTTTCTAAACCCAAAGGCAAATTTTAACTGGCAACACTTGGCAGTTTTTTTCCTGTTATTCAATAGCCTGAAGCTGGCTCGGCAGAAGCTGCGTGCTTATTTCAAAGGGAAAGATACAACATCAATCAGTTCAAAGCTGAGTGTTTAGAATCACCAGGTGATTTTGAGAAGACAATACTAACTCCTGGTGAGGTGTATTTCCACCTGTGTGTCTAGATTCATGAGCAACGCTAGAGCTGGAGCTCTCTACACCAAATTACTACCATGTAATACAATTGACTCCTATCAATATATGCCT